CCTAACCCACAGAGCCACCAGGATTCATTTTAGAGGTGGTGTAGTAGTTACAAGTTGGGCAGCAAACCACAAGGTCAGCAACTGGAAGCCACCAGCGCTCTGCAGGAGAGAGCTGGGACTTTCTACTCCCATAAAGAGTTATAGTCCTAGAAGCCCACAGAGGCAGCTCTCTCCTGTCCTATAGGGTTGCTTTGCGTTTGAGTCAACTGGATGGAATTGAGAGAAGCCACTCAATGATTGAAGCTGTACTAGAATCCAGATCTGCTCTCCCCTACTTCCCAGACCAGGTGCTGGCTGGGCAGGCAAGGCAGCCTGACTTAAGGAGCCTCATCTAGAACCTTCTCTCCTGGAGAGCTCTGCCTTTCCTCCCCCAGCCCCATGACCTACCATGCTCACTCCGGGCCCTAATGACATTCTGCCTCTGCTGTAATTTCCTTTAGGACTGAAACTGAGCTGTCTGCTGCCCTTCCCTCTCGCCCCCCCCCCCTTTTTTTTTTAATCTCAGCTTGGTGCAGGGAGAAGGATGCATGTTTGGGAGGCAGACAAAGATGCTTTGAATACCAATCCTGCTTACTCACCCAGCCAACAGTCTTGGGCATGTCACGGGACCTCTCAGGACCTCAGTTTCCTCATTGAGCAATAGGGTAATTCCTACCTTGCATGGCTGTGAATATTTGGGTGCCTAGCCCAGTACCTGAAGGCTCTCTCTGAAGGGCTCTCTACCACGACGAGCATCTCCCGTGGCACCGAGCTTAGGGTCGGATTATTTATGCCTAATTTGATTAATCTTTGACTCACCTCAGTCCCTTGTGCCTGGCCGCTGGTTGACTCGAAAGCTAGAAAAAGCTAAAAGGAAAGAACAGCACAAAATGGCACAAGCACAGATGAGCGATTCCCTTCCCTGGAGCCCTGCACCTCCTCTCGCCTCAGTTTCCCCACAGGTCAAACTCAGTGGGGGAAGCCCCTCTTAGAGGGCTCACAGAAATGGGAGCATGCAGCATCAGAGACTTCTAATGTAATCAGATGGATAATGAAAAGGCTCTTTTTCTCTAAGCCTCGAGTGAGTCAGAGCTCTGTGCTTGGCTTGGCCCCAGGGAGTACCGAGAAAATGAAATATCGTCTGTAGCCTCATGACACCTAAACAAATGGTCAATTCCATGGGTCAGATATCAGCCAGAGGGGTTACAGGACATCTCCAGCGACAGAGAGGGAAGAGCTGCAAGGAAAGGGCCATTAGCAAAGGTTCCTTAGTGGGGTCCAGGCGCAGGATGGCTATAAAGGCTAATACCTACTTTGCCTTATGGCGAGATGTTTGTTTTTGCCACCTCGAAGTTCACTGGTAACTGGCAACATGTCTGAAACCTGCAGCAATTTTCAGCCTCTCAAACAGTCTCAATAATCTCTTCCACATCCTGACACCTGACGCTTGAATTAAAGCATAAATTATCCTCTTGGTAGCAACCCAGTCTCTTCCGTAACAAATATAACCAGTTCGGGGTCTCAGATTTGCTCATTTTCCTTTTTTTCCCTGGCCTTTAGCTATCATAGGGGGGTGGGGGGGGGAATGTCTGCTGGGTTTGCACAGTGCAGCTGGTTACTGTGATTATGTAGATACGGCCTCGGTAAATTCAATAGTGTGCTGCTAGCTGTTCAATAGCTGGTGAAATTAATGCCCAGGCAAGTGGGAAATGGGCCACCACCTTCAAAATATGGACTTGGAACTTGCTTTTCACTTTGCCCCTGGTGTGTGTGTGTGTGTGTGTGTGTGTGTGTGTCTCACCTGCCTTTGTTGAGAACTCCAGCTCTGTGGCCATTTACTGGCATTCTCTTCCTCCTCCAACTCCCCACTGGGAGTAAACCAGTTCAAGAGAAGAACCATCATGCTAGACTGAGATGAGAGTGATAGGAACTGAGTCTATGCCACTCCCTCCCTTCTCCCTTGTGGAAGATGGCTGGGAGAAGGATAGTGACAGGAAGGGCAAAGAGATAGCTGACAGGAGGGCATAGAAAAGCTAAGCTGCCTGGGCCTTTTTTGTGTAGATCTCGACACAATGTAACGAAGCACTGCCCAGCCCTGCCCCGGATCCCATAACCGGCTACAGATTGGAGCATTCTGATACGTAAGATGCTCAGTGACTGGATTTGGAGGGAGATTTCACAGGGCTTTCTTCCTAGCCCATCAAAGTCTGAAAGGTCCCCTGAAACCTGGAGCTAGCTAGAAGTCCTCAAAGATCATTCTGGCCCATGTTAGTATCTCCACCCAAGACCAAGGACAACTTCTCCTCTTCCTCAAGACGCCTGGCAGAGCGCTGCCCAAATTGTCCCCGTCTCAGATCACACGGTGAAAGATCTCTTGATCCCCTCAGCGGCTTCTTCCTGCAGCAGAGGAAAGATGATGGGTCTGCGAGCCACAGAAGCTGGGGTCTGGTCATCAGCTGTGCACCCCAACACTGTGAACTTGTCAGTTCCTTTTGGCCCTTGAACCACCTCCAAATGGGAAGAAAGGCAAGCTAGGATTCTGAGAGCGCTTGGTGATCTGAATTGACATCAACCTATGCGTCTCTTGGTTTCAACTCTTCAAATACCACTTAAGCTAATTCAGTTGAGCTAGGGAAAAACAAAATCTGCTTCAGGATGGTCTGTACCACACAATTTCTTAACCTCAGAGAACTTGAAATTGTGAATTTGTGAGTCTGCTTTTGGATGGGAGAAAAAATCCATATATTCATTTAAAAATATTAAATAGATGGTTGATGATAACTACCTGTCTCCCCCCACCACCCCCACAATGAAAAGGAAGTTAAGAACCTCCACGGGCATCTTAGACATAAGTTATCCTGAGGGGCCTTCTCATGCCCCACCCCTGACTCTCCTCGGTGGTAATGACTATGAGGCAGATGCTGGAAAACAAGACGCAGGCTTGAAGGCAAGCATGGAGGAGTGACTGGACTCTGTTTCCACTTCCACTGTCACTGCCCTTTGCTGCATCATGGGTCCAGTAACCATTTGACCTCAGGAATGAAATAACTTTCCCTGACCAACATCTTCTGACTGTGCCTGGAGAATGGTTATGCTTCTTTCAAAGGATCTCGGTAGAAAGTGAAAGAAAATTCAGTGATCTATAGGAGTGCAGTGAATGTGAGCTCCCTCCTACCAAAAGTTGGAGCCCAAAATCTATGACTTGAAAGATAGCCCATCTGAAAATCACTCCTTCCCCAGCCCTGCCCCAGGAGGAAATGTGTCGCTGTGGCCATTAAATGCCCATTGTTGGAGTAGACCTGCAGTTGAATTCAGTTCTCAACTCCTCTACTTGCCTGTTGGAACTTGGGCACAGAGCTCAACTTCCCTATACCCTGGTGTTCTACCCACAAAATGAGAATGCTAATATCAGGTCCCTTAGTGACCCCATAGGACAGGGTAGAGCTGCCCCTGTGGGCATCTAAGACTGTGACTCTCATGTGTATGTGTGTGTGTGTGTGTGTGTGTGTGTGTGTGTGCTTCCTTTTTTTATTAATCATTTTATTGGGGCTCCTACAACTCTTATCACAGTCCATACATCCATCCATTGTGTCAAGCACATTTGTACATTTGTTGCCATCATCATTTTCAAAACATTTTCTTTCTACTTGAGCCCTTGGTATCAGCTCCTCATATTTTCTCCTCCCTCCCTCACAACCCTTGATAATATATCTTTTTTTTTTCAGGTCTTACACTGACCAATGTCTCCCTTCACCCACTTTGCTGTTGTCTGTCCCTCTGGGAAGGGGTTATACGTAGATCATTGTAATTGGTTCCCCTTTTCTTCCCCCATCTTCCCCTTCCCCTCCTGGTATCGCTAATCTCATTATTGGTCCTGAGGGGTTTATCTGTCCTGTTTCCAGCTCTTATCTGTACCAGTGTACATCTTCTGGTCTAGCCGTATTTGTAAAGTAGAATTGGGATCATGATAGTGGGGAGGGGGGAGCATTAAAGAACTAAAGGAAAAGTGTATGTTTCATCATTCCTACACTGCACCCTGACAAGACTGTAACTCTTTATGGGCGTAGAAAACCCCACCTTCTTCCACTGGTTGCTGGTGTTTTTGAACCGCTAACCCATAACCCATATGCCACCAGGGCTCCTAGAACATGGGAGTTGCATAAATGTTAACTTGATAAAGCTTTCCCTCTAGTTTGAGGAGCCATGCCTTCTCTCCAAGGAGTCGTTGGTGACCCAAACAATTCACTCACTCAGATGCTAATGAAAAGGTTCTAGAGTTCACCCTGAAGCACTTTGGAAGAAAGGGCTGGCAATCTTCTTCAAAAAAGTCAGTCTTTAAACACTCTGTGGAGCAGCCCTACTCTGACAGCTTGAGGTGGTCATGAGTCAGCGGCAACCTGGCAGCCCTCTCTCCTGAATAACAGTCCCCTACCTCTGGGGCGTGTCTGAGCTGCTGAATGTACAACGTGGTATCGCTTTGAAAGAAGGAAAAATCTAAACAACAGGTAGCCAAGAGACCACCAAGTCTCTCCCCCTGATATTTGGAGGCCTCTGATGCACCCCAAATCCTACCTCCATATAGCTAACTCACTCACCACCTCATTGCGTGACTCCCCCACGCCCCCATGGAAAGCCTGGATTTTCCCAGGCGCCCTCCGCTCCGCCCCCCCCCCCCCCCTTTCTCCTTCCCTGCTCTCCACAGGGAGGACCCACCTCCTATCCTCCCTGCGTGGGTGGTTATTGTCTGTTTCCTCCCATCAGAATGCAAGCTCTTCAAGGGTCTTCATCTGATTTGTTCAGCTGCAATGCCCAATGGTGCCTAGAACAGAGCCTTTGCCACTCAGGGGCTGCTCAGTTAACCGTCTGATAGTAAATAGATGGCTCAAGGAGCGAGTGTACAAAAGGAAACCCCAAGGTTGTATCAGGAGGCCCAAGAGTTCTCCATGTGGGAGCAAAGAAGTGGGACTGGTTTCAGCCCTGACTCCCCTGTCTAACCCCAGAATTCTGCCTCTGTCTTTCAGGTGCCAGAAAAGTTGCATGTGTCCCTAAATCTGGGGGTCTTACTCCAAGTGCCCCCCTCCCATTAGAGGTAAGCACCCTCAGATCCCTGTTGAAACTGAAGAGCCACCAAGAGGAGAGAGAATCCCAGGGTGTCACTCTGGGGTAGGGAGAGGGTATCCCCAGGCCCAAGTGACACTTCTGCACCCGCCAAGGGCTGACCCCAGGGCAGCGGGCGCGGCCGCCCTCCAGCTGACCACCACCGGCGGCGGGGCGGCAGCGCCTTTGCTGGACCCGCATTGCCCCCTAGTGCCGCGCGGAGGCAGGGCGCCGGGCTCCCCCGCCTGATGTCACCGCCGTGCAGTCAGCCCAGAGGTGGCTCATTGAAAGCAGACCCTCCTCGGCGCCGGGCGGCGGAGGCGCCGCTGTCCGCAGAGCTGCCGCCCGCCCGCCGCGTGCCGGGCCCGAGCCGGGCGTCCCCTCCGTGCCGCCCCTCGGCCCTCCCCGGCGCTCCCCGGCCAGCCCGGCCCGGCGCGCCTGACGTGGACCATTAAACTTGGAACTGCCGCCTCGTCCCCTCTCTTCCTCCTCTCATCCTCCTCCCTCTGACAGGCGAGCCGGTGAGCGAGCGGCTCGGTGCAGCCAGGAGACAGCGAGCGGGCGAGAGCGAGCCAGGCTGGGCTGCCGGTGGGGGAGATGACTTCTCGCCAGGAGGGCGCCTCCGGGAAGCCGACCACGGTGGCAGCAAAGTTTCAGGGCAACTGAGGAGCCTTGCAGCCCAATCACCCCCCTGGCTATGGAGGGCGGACTCTAAAATGAATCCCAATCTGGACACCGGCCACAATACATCAGCACCTGCCCACTGGGGAGAGTTGAAAGATGCCAACTTCCCTGGCCCCAACCAGACCTCCAGCAACTCCACACTGCCCCAGCTGGACATCACCAGGGCCATCTCTGTGGGCCTGGTGCTGGGCGCCTTCATCCTCTTTGCCATCGTGGGCAACATCCTGGTCATCTTGTCTGTGGCCTGCAACCGACACCTACGGACGCCCACCAACTACTTCATCGTCAACCTGGCGATTGCTGACCTGCTCTTGAGCTTCACTGTCCTGCCCTTCTCCGCCTCTTTGGAGGTGCTTGGCTACTGGGTCCTGGGGCGGATCTTCTGTGACATCTGGGCCGCCGTGGACGTCCTGTGCTGCACGGCCTCCATTCTGAGCCTGTGCGCCATCTCCATCGATCGCTACATCGGGGTGCGCCACTCTCTGCAGTACCCCGCTCTGGTCACCCGCAGGAAGGCCATCTTGGCTCTCCTGAGTGTATGGGTGTTGTCCACGATCATATCCATCGGGCCTCTCCTTGGGTGGAAGGAACCAGCGCCCAACGATGACAAGGAATGCGGGGTGACCGAAGAACCCTTCTACGCGCTCTTCTCCTCCCTGGGCTCCTTCTACATCCCTCTCGCAGTCATCCTGGTCATGTATTGCCGGGTCTACATCGTGGCTAAGAGGACCACCAAGAACCTGGAGGCGGGAGTCATGAAGGAGATGTCCAACTCCAAGGAGCTCACCCTGAGGATTCACTCCAAGAACTTTCATGAGGACACCCTCAGCAGTACCAAGGTCAAGGGCCACAACCCCAGGAGTTCCATCGCTGTCAAACTGTTCAAATTCTCCAGGGAAAAGAAAGCAGCCAAGACCTTGGGCATTGTGGTCGGCATGTTCATCTTGTGTTGGCTACCCTTCTTCATCGCGCTACCGCTTGGTAAGTTGGGAACTGGGTGTTTGGGGGATCTTGGTTTGATTGATGAACTTTAAGTTGTGTGTGTGTGTGTGTGTGTGTGTGTGTGTGTGGTTTGTTTTTTGAGGGGGGGGCACTGTTTGGGTTGGGTTTGGGTTTTTCTTCAATGCAGTCTGTGTATGTTTAGAGATTGGCTAATACTGTTTATTCTGCAAAGGCTTTGCAGATTAGGTAGCTGGCTAAGCACCAACTCAGGTGTTAGTGAAACACGCGAAGGTACGATTAGCCACTTGAAATATAACCACAGGAAGGTAATCTGGGATGTGGGATGACTCACTCCACGACCGCGGTTTAATCATGGAAAAGGACAGTGGGCTTGAGTGTCACACCGGCATCCTTTCAGTAGTAATGATGTGTCTGCTACGGCAGCGTCACTAATGCAGCATACAAAATAGTTTGTAGCTACTGCAGACGCGGCATACGGGAAGCAGGGAGGCAGTGCGTACGCAGAAAGGCAGTTTTCATTCAGCATTTCCAGGGCTCTTGCCGAGACCCACGCTTCTCAAGAGCTTTGCAGAGGCGGGCAAGCCTCCCCCTCCTGCCTAGCTACCACCTCATTGCACACTCTTCATTACCGGTTAATAAGAGTCTTTTACAACCACACCAGCTTTGAAGTTCTCTAATGCTGGAGATTTGAAAGAGAAGACGACCAAAGGGGTCACACACTAATCCGTTTGCATCCAAAAATGTTCCCAACGCTGGTGACTTATGGAATGCCCCAGAATGTAAATTGTAGTTGTCAGATTTTTTAAATGCAGGTGAAATGGAATTAGGTGGACGCCTCACCATGTGTCCTCCCTCCCTCCCTCCCCCACCCCTTTGGTTTGGTGGTCCTCCTAACTGAATGGTCCGACTGTCCCCTGCTTTTTTTAAGGAAGCAAAGGTTTATCGCTAGGAGATAAAACTGGAGGAAGGTAGTGTGACATGCTATATACATGGCATGGGAGGCGCTAGTCCCTTCTCTGAAGCATTGGTCTACTTTGATGTCTTCTCGCATCTCTGGGGGCACGCCACAGAAAATGAATGGAGGGATGTGAGGATGGCGCAGTCGTGCGCTGTGATATGAGCAGAGGCAACAGCTGCCACCTGCCCTGGACCGCATATGCCTGCAATCTCACCAGGGTCGAAACCAGGATCAGATAGGAGCAAATTCCCCAAGGAATTGGAAGTCTAAAGGCACACTGCTCTCAAGAAAAAAGAGGATAAATAGAAAGGAAGCAAAATATTTTATCAGGCGTTTGCCTTTTTAAGAAAGGGGCCAGGGGAGGCTGTTTAACCTACTCCTATGTCATCTTTTCCAAGGCTGGATTGCAGGCTAATGCTTTTCTGAAATGTTTTCAGTGGTCTCCAGTGGGAACCCTTGAAGGTCGACCCTCAAAAAAGAATCAAATCCCATTGCATAAAAGCTGTCTTTTCTTTCTTTCCTAAGCTTTCTGTGTCCTTTCGTCGGCTCACTGAGGTTACAGCAGAGGAACGTTCATGCTGTGTTGCGGCCCTGGGCAGGATCATAGTTGTACACAAAAGTGATTTCAGCCACTTACTATGGGCAAGCGACTACTCCTCTGTGAGCCTCAGGTGCTCCATCTGCAAAATGGGGCTAAATCATCCTTCCTCTCATGGGATCCCCACTGATGCATGGAAGGGCTTAGCACAGCGTCTGGCACACAGTGAATGCTCAATGAGAGTTAGCTGTAGGTTGGACAAACTTTTCAGTCCCCTCTAGGGTGACTGAAAACCCTCTGCGTTTTCTCCTCCACTAATTTGCCAACCCCACGCTGATTACTAAAGACACAGAAGAGACCAGATAGTTCCCACTTCTTCCATGTGCCTGTCCATCCAGACAGTGACCACAAACAACATCCTCGGGATCCAGAAGGATAAAGGAGGAGGATCAAAGGCTCAGACTTTGGCTGTAGAGGACAGGAGACAACTGCTCCAAATAGGTGAGGAGGCTTCCAGCATCCTGGAAGGGAAATCGCAGTGCAAGAGTTCTCATTTGGGCTTTGCTCTCAATTCGCTGTGTGACCTGAAGCTTGTGGCTTTACCTCTCTGGGCTTCAGGTTGCACTTCTGGAACAAAAGAGAGTTGGATAACATTGAGGGTTGTCGACCTTCCATAAAGCGTCAGATCCACAAATCACCTGTCAAGGGTGATGAAAATGTAGCTTCCTGGCCCATCTCTCAGAGAATCCAATTCAGTAAACCAAATGAATGCCAACAATGTATGTGTCAATCAGCCCACCCAGTGACATTGGAAAGGTGGTCCACAGACCAGGCTTGGAGGATCACTGGCCAGAGGGACTCTCAGCTTCCCCAGGCACCATCATCCTGGATGCTGGGGTTTAAAATACTACAAGGCTTAGACCTTCCCACCTACCCACGAGTGTGGAATGATAAGGCTTCTCTCTAGATCCTGTTCTTTAAGTCGTCACCACCACCAGTTGCCGCTGAGTCAACACAGACTCATGGCGGACCTACCGTGTGTCAGAGTAGAGCGGGCTCCATGGAGTTACCCAGGGCTGGTTTGGGGTAAGTCAATTCCCAGTCTTTTCTTCCAAGGTGCCTTGGGCTATACTAAGACCTCCCTCTTTGCGGTTCCTAACAGCATGCTACCCCTATGTACTACCTAAGAATGCCTTCAAGTCATCAAGCCTCCCTCACTCTCTTCCCTCTCTCACTCACTCTCCCCACCTCTTCCTCCTTTCTGCCCACACCCTTCTGAGCCACTGTGTCTTCCTGGTATTTCAGATCCTTGGCTTATTCATATAAGAAGTGAGATCTCTTACTATCCAGGTGCTATCAGGACTTGCCTCTCCCATCCTTGCAAAGAAAACCTTCTGACCACCACCCTATGGTCCTCGAAAGACCTCCCGAGGTACTACCCCTAACTTAACTTTGTCCACATCCTTCTTCCAGGGAAACCCAACTGTTGGGAATGAAGACTATGAATCCCATGCAGATAGAACAGCCTTGGGTTTGGGATGAACACTGAAAGATACCCAGGGGCTTTATACCAGGGAAAATTCTTGATTTAACACTTTCTTCATAATTAAATTGACAGAAAGCAACCCAGCAACATGGAGATGGGAGTTTTCCCCTTTGCCATTTCAAATAACACCTAAATAGAACTAAATACAATAGCAAGATATAGAACAATAACTCCTTTGGAATTGGAAAGGGGCTCCAAATTCAAAATTTTCCATGGAAACTTTTCCCTCAAAAAGACAGAAAGCAGAGGTGGGAGCCAGTGACTGACCCACTCAGAAGAGCAGGTAGGAGTAACTTCCCATTGGAGATAGACTCCCAGGTGCTGAGATGGCAGAGATTCCCATCACTGTGTTTATTTTCTCTGTGGGAGAGAAGGATTGGGATTCTTCCTCAGAAGGAGGGGATGTGGCCATGGATCCCAAAGAACCCAGCTTAGGGTCACGTTTGTTTTCTTACGCCCTTATTTTTATTTTCTGAAGTATGATCAGACTGCCCGCAGAGCAGGGCCTCCAGTCTCCTGCTGGGTCCACTGCACCTGTAACACCCACCCTACCTCCTCCCAGCTCTGTGGCCTCAGACCAAGTTGGGCCAGAGACCAGCATTCACTTCCTCAGCAGCAGAGATGGGCTCTACCAAACAAGCACCTCTTTCTTTGGCCCCTGGCATCAGGCCAGGGAGGGACAGCAAGTAATTGGAATATAATATGGCAGCATCTCGACTTGATGGGCCACAGGCAAGATACTCAAGAGAATCTTTAGCTGCCCGGCATTGTAACAAAGTGCTGCTCCCATCTGCTACAGGGGGGCCTGGCCAGGCTCTCAAGAAGTGGCTGGAGTTTGGATGCTGCACCCTGCAGTGGGGTTGGGGATGGGGCAGGAAGTCCTGGGCAGCCAACGGGTAGCAGGGCTCAGTGCGTTGTTTAGAAAACACTGGAACCTTGCCTCACTCCAAATCTTCCTTCTGTCTTTTAAAATGCTGAATGGCACCAAGAAGCCATTATTGAACTAACTGCTTTCCCCTCCAAACAAATGAAGGTCACTTTCAAAGAAACAGTTGTGCTCTCTCTAGTACTGCAACCAAATAAAATCACTCTCTCCATTTATTTGTTTCTCCCATTTGGAGGGAGGCTGCTGAGTCTCCACCTCCCCAAAGAGCAGAGGGAGGGAGAGGGAGGGTCTCACAGGTAACTCTGGGCAGAGCCCCCCCACAAACACACATGCTGATGCTCCAGCTCTGAGACTTCGAAACACAAACATTTGAGATGCTCGCTAGGAGAGGACTTGGTTTGTGTACTTGATTTTTGCACCCAGGGAAGCATTTCTGGAAGAGAGAAATCATTCATGAAATCATTACTAAAGACTTCCTAAAGCACCGGTTGGCGCTCCTGGGTGATGCAAACAGTTGAAGTACTTGGCTGCTTGCTAACTAACAGGTTGGAAGTTCAAGTCTACACAGGTGCCTCAATGGCAAGTCTGATGAGCTACTTCCCGCAAAACCAGCCATTAAAAATCCTATGAAAAAACAATTGTTTGAAAACAATAATAATAAATAAAAACCCTCCGGAGCACAGCTCTAGTCAGACACACCCAGGAGTCGCGATCAACGTGACATCAGCTGGGTAACCCGTGGTATGTGCTGGGCACTGTACTATACACTGGGTAGTTGAGCTAAACATCAACGTGGCCCCTGCCTGCAGGAGACTTGCAGGATATCATTATTGAGTGTGTACTGCATATCAGACTCTTGGCTAGAACTATTAGAGATGTCATCTCACCGATCCTTGTAAATACGCTGCCAGGGGAGAACATTCGCTTCCTCTTTTCAGATGAATATACTGAGTTCAGCATGGTGAGCCTGCTTGCCCAAGGTCACACAGCAAGTAAGAGATAGAGCTTAGAGTTGGATGCACATCTGTCAGGACAGACCTGTGCTGATCCTCTGTACTGAGGCCATGCCTGGTCTCCTTGGTCCTAGCCTTCTTTCGTAGCAAATACTCTCCAGGAATCCCAAAGCCATCTTCACACGTTGCCTATTGTCCAGCCTATTGCAAGGCCTTGCCTTCCTTCCACTCCTCACTCAACCTTGGTGAAGAACCCATTCATGAAATGACGAAGAAGACAACTCACGCTGTAGCCCCACACCATCTGGGCTGTTATGCTGGTGCCTCAAAGTTGGACGCGTTTGCCAGTTGTTCAAGTCATCAGGGAAGAGCTTTCCTCCCCTCTCATCTCAAGGCCCAGGTCCGTGTTTTAATCATTCAATTGTTATGCCCTGGATTAATATGTATTTCTGAGTGTCTACTTCATCCAGCCCTGCGCTTGGTACTAAAGTTGAAGGAAGAACAAAACAGCCATGCTTGTGTGCTCAGAGAACTGAGTTCTAGCAGGTAACACAGGGATTCTGAAAAACGCTTGGGCAGAAATAAACCTGGATGCAAATTGTGATTCCTTGGGGGAAAGGGATAAGATGTTGTACAAATATGTTGCACTAATCGGTGGATCATGTTCAGGCAGACTCCTGAGAAGTTTTGAGGTGATAGTTCCGTGAAGAGGGCGAGTAGGAGAAGGATCTGGGCAGCAGGAAGGGCAGACCATCCTGAGGCAGGAGATGGTGAAAATGAACCAGGGCTATTAAACAGAGGGGAAGCATGCGCAGAGCCAAGGTGGAGAGGTAAGCAGAGGCCAGGCCATGCAGGGAGTTTGAGGTTTTATCTTAAGTACCTGGACCACATGAAGAGTTTGAAGCAGATGAGAGATCCTATTTGAGTCATAGCTTTGAAAGAGGACTTGGACTGCTGTGTACATCACAGCCTAGAGACAGGCCCCTCCGCCACAGGGAGAAACGGTGGTGGCTTAGACCAGGGTGGTGGCAGTGGTGGTGGGAAGCAGTGACAAACTCCAGGAATTGGGCGTGGGTGGGCGAAGGTGTAAGAAAGTCAGTGAGAGAAACAAATGTGTCCAGAATGATCTCCAGAACTTTCCATGGAGCCACTTGCCTGGGTAGAGGCACCATTGACTGAGAAGGAGAAGACTGAGAGCACTTGGCTAAGAGGATTCCGTCAGGCTCTCCTCAGACCATCTACCAGATGCCACACCAGGAAGAATCCTGCAGAGACTCGTGTACATTGAGCAAACTGGAAAAAACAAAAACAAAAAAACAATGTCACCACCCAAGACCCAGGAGAGGTGGGCAAACCTAGCTGCTCAGGAGCAGCATCAGTAGCCTGGGGTTGGGAGGTGCTGGTTTTCAGGAGCCTCACCCACTCTACCAGAATCTCTAGTGGTAGGGAGGCTAAGACTCTCTGTACTAAGTTTCTCAGTTGCATTTTATGCAATCAGCACAACATAGGGCCTGGGGGCCCTGAAAAGAGGATCCCATGAAGATCCACTCACAACTTGAGCATGTACGCCTGAGGGCATCAACAAGCATCCCCCGTCCTGCCCAGGCCATGGGCCAGTCCATGACAAGAAAGGGTCGCAGGCCAGCTGGAGGGAAGGTGATTTCTTTAAACTAGAACCTGGAGAAGGATGAGAGAAGGAGTGTTGTGGAAGGATGTTCAACAAAGCGGAAACACTGCCCAGCGCTTTGTTAGCTGTGGTACTGGCCATCGCATCAGCCATGTCGCTAACATGAGAGGCCTCCAGTTCAGGGAGGGGCTGGATTTTGCCCCAGGTGACACAGTCAGTAAGCAATGGAGCCTGTCTGATTCTACAGGTGTCATTCAGTCAACATGATCTTACCCTTAAGAGTCCTGGTGCCATAGGTGCCACAGTGGGTTATGTGGTCGGCTGTAACTTCAAGGTCAACAGTTGGAGTCTACCAGCCACTCCTCAGGAGAGAGATGAGGCTGTCTGCTCTCATGAAGATGTACAGCCTCAGAAACCCAAAAGGGGCACTTCTACCCTGTCCCATCAAGTCACTATGAGTTAGAATCAACTCGATGGGAGAGAATGGTAAGATCTTCGCCCTGCTCCTTCTATAATGCTGCCCCAGCATTTATCCCGAGTCCCATGTCCATGTGTGACAGACCGCGTTTCCACTATGTATACTGGAGTGAATAAAAACAACTCGGAAAAAGCTGCATTTAAAATTTAAAAACCTAAATGTATTCCACATAAATGGCTGTCCTTTTATGCTAAAGACTACGTCCTTCCTATTTGAGACACTCAAATGGCATTTCTTTGATGGAATGATGATCATAATAGGTCATAATGATAGTAGTGTGTTGTTTTTCTGTCTTAATGTCCTCCTTGTTAAAATAACAGGCTTACAGCCCTTTGTCAATTCCCTCTCCCGCTCCAAATTTTGTGTGTGTGGAAGTTTTAATGTGAGTCTCCTAAAGCCTTGGCCTCCAGGAAGACAATGATAACTAGACACAATAAATATTGATGGGAAAAGAGGGACAGAGGCAAGCTGAGAGGGGAGAGAAGCAGCAATGAGTCTGCCTGCACTTTGCTGTGAGATCGCAGCCCACTGTGGCAGAGGGGCAGGAGGGGAATAGGATGGTGTGTACAGAGAACTAGCTGTATAATGCCACAGGAGAGGGGGTAGGGTGCAGGGGTCAGTGGTGGAAACACCCAAGCCTGTTGAGGGAAAACAGGCCAGGGGATGTCAGAAGGCGCTTGTGTAGCAGCAAGGCCAGCCGAGATAGGCTCATTAAGCTCTGTTGTGCAGGAGATGCCCTTTACCTGAGTCTGTGTGCGGCTCACGGAAATAACTGATAGCTGCCAACCCATGCAGGGCAATCGTTTCTGCAACCACTGTGTCCCTGGCCACCTACGATGATAATAATAATATTAGTGCTGTTGTTAGGTGCCATCAGTCAGTTCTGACTCACAGCCATCCTATGTCTCACAGAACAAAACGCTGCCCAGGACTGCACGATCCCCACAATCATTCCTATGCTTGAGCCCATGGTTGCAGCCACTGTGTCCATCCATCTTGTCGAGGGACTGCCTCCTTTTCGCTGACCTTCTACTTTGCCAAGCAGGGTGACCTTCTCCGAGGACTGGTCTCTCCTGACATGTCCAGAGCACAGGAGATGAAGTCTTGCCATCCTCACTTCTAAGGAGCATTCTGGCTGTATTTCTTCCAAGACAGATCTGTCTGGGAGCACTCAGGCTGTATTTCTTCCTAGACAAATTTGTCTAGCAGTGCATGGTCCTTCCAATAGTCTTCACCGGCACCGTGATTCCGATGCCGCCGTTTTCCCTGCTCTTCCTCGCTGTGCAGCTGGCACAGGAGATGGAGCGTTGGACTGTGCCATGGCTTAGGCTCCGCAGTTGGACAGACTAACAGATAAGTGGTGGTGGGCATGGTGACTGCCCCAAATTCACAAATAAGGAAGGCCAGCACGCCTCGATTGCCCCCAGTTAACTAATGACAAGACCCGGTCTAGAACCTAGGCAACCATTTAAGACCCAGTGTGGGTCTCCGGGCCTCCGTTTAAGGGAGTGCAAAAAGGGGCCTTTCTGACAAGGAAGAAGGGAAGGGCACGGGCTGCCTACCCCTCCACAGCCAAGAGGTGCCATATCCTGGTAAGGCAATAGAGACTATAAGATATAAGCTGGTCTTTCACCTGGGAAGCCGAGCTCATTAATTAGCCGTCGTTTAGAAGCTCAACCTCACAACTCACTATTATTAATGCCACCTAGATTTTTATCCAATGTGGCGAAACACAAATGGTTTGGTTCTCCCCCCACAGATCAGCTTCTGGGGGCATGCACTTCAGACAGTAAATGTGCTCCACCACTTACCTGCGTGAGGTGCCAGCACCCCCCAGCCTGCTCCTGTTGTCCTGGGGTCAGCCACTGGGCCTGCCTGCCTGCGGATTTCACAGGGCCAGGTGAGTTTGCACAGTGAGCGAGGGAGTGTGTCTAGAAGCCAATTTTCTACTCCATGCTTTCATCGGCCAGAAACAACCTAACTATACAGAGAAAAAGGACTATAAACCGAGTACTGATATACCAAAACCAAACTTCCTGCCAAGAATTGATTCTGACTCATAAGACCCTATAGGCCAGAGTAGAACTCTCACGGAGGGTTTCCAAGACTGTAAATCAGTACAGAATAATATTGCCCCGTCTTTCTCCTGAGGAGTGGCTATTGGGTTTGAATTGCTGACCTTTCCTGGTGGACTTGAACTGCAAACGTTTCAGTTATCAGCCAGATATGTAACCTACTGTCTACCCCCTCCCTCCACATCCACCTACCCCCCAGGGCTCCACACCAGGCCACCACATATCTGCAAGAGAACCTTGCGGAAATGCAGGTTCACTCAACTTCCTCTTTCCTGGCTCCAAAAGTGCCTCTTAAAATACTGCCAAGCCCCCCTCCAACTTCTTGGCACCGTGTGTGATGTTTATGCCCCGCGGGGTTTTAAGGGGTGCTCTCTTTGTGGAAGCAACTTCACCAGGTGAGGTTCTGGCTTGGTTTCCTGTGGTGTGTCCTGCTGGTACAGAGGTTAAAGTACCTGACTGCCAACCAAAAGATAAGTGGCTTAAACCCAGCAGCTTCTCTGTGGGAGAAAGAGGAGGCTCCCATAAAGATAGACAGTCATGGAAGCCCCTGCTCTGTCTGGTTGCTATGGGTCAGATCAACTCAGTATCTTTCTTTTGAAGAGTGGTTGGGTGGGTTTCAATCCCCAACCTTTCAGTTAGTAACTGACTGAAAACCGCTTTGGACACCCAGGGTCCCTCAAAGATGCCCATATAGCACCATCCGCATGGGGGGAAACATGGCAGAGGACAGTCAGAGTGGGAAAAGTTGGTGAGTTTAAGTGACTGCACTGAATCTGCCAGATGATCATAAGGAGAGGGTCTGGGCCAAGTGGGTGTCTCCTCCAGAGACAGCTCTCTCTAGCAACTCCATGCCTGACCTACATACTCCTGTAAACAGCTGGAAGCAGTGACCAAATGGTTCGTCCCCGCCTAACCCAGGTGCTCACAAAAGTTGAATCAATACAGAAGGCGCAGCTCTGTGCGTCCAGCAGAATTAGAAGTGTGCGCTGATGAAAGACAACGACTTCCAGTTCTCAAGCACCCCCCGGCGTTGCCCTCCTACTGTGTGTTTGCTTTCTTCTTCCCTCCACTGGGACTATCCAAATCCTGACCACATCTGAACCCTGCATTCTGTCCACTCCTCTCTCAGGAAGCCTCCCCTAGTTCCCACCCCTTGAAAGATAAGAACTTATGAGATGCTTGTCGCATTTTCCCATGGAGCTGAGGGCTGATATGCACACTGTAGCTGCAACCCCTTAGCTACCAGACCGCAAGCCCCTTGAGGGTAAGGTCCAAGTTGGAATCGTTTTATTGCCCCTCGTGGCCAGAATTTAGCACATTTTCTGTAAAAACCGTCCTGACAGCTATGATCCCTACAGTGTGCCCAGGGCGTCCTCTTGCACCTGTACCTCCCAACTGCCAACAGATGGAATCCATGATTTGTCCATTTTATAAATGATGAAATGGACTTACGGAAGTTACGTGACCTGACATAATTCCTTAAGATTATCACAAACACATTAAAAGGGAACTGTTACGCACTGTTTTCTAAAACCAAAATGCCCATATGGGGTCAATAAAGAAGTCTTGGATAGGTGAAACCCAAAGTGGACTCAAAACATTGTAGTCAGGTGCTGTCAAGTCCGTTCCAACTCATTGCAACCCCGTGTGCAGCAGAAGAAAGCCCTGCCAGCCCTGCAGGAGCCTCTCGATGGTTTGTTTCAGCCTATTGTTGCAGCCACTGTGTCCATCCACTTCCTGGAGGGTCTTCTTCTGTGTTATTGACCCTCAATTTCACAAAACTTGATGACCTTCTCAAGGAACTGGTCTGTCCTGATAACATGCACAAAATTAGTGGGACAAAGTTTCACAGTTCTTGCTTCTAAGGAACATTCTGGCTGTACTTCTTGTGGTATACCAACCCCCACAATCAAATGGGGCCAAGAGGCGGTTGTGTAATTGAGGGGTAAAATTAAAGAGACATCAGTTAAAAGGAACAAGCACACCACTACTGTGGGATGTGAACCTTCTCTAGCTCTTGCTTGCTCCCATTAGCCACTTCTTCCCAGTGAAGAACTTTCTCTTTCCAGCTGGGCTGACCCGTCCCGCAGGTCATCAAACAACGTGGATACCTGAAAAAGGGACTGGGAATGAAGAGAGGCAAGAGACGCGAGAAATGGAGACAAGACAGTATTCTGATCAAATCTCGTTTATTGAGCAGAAGGCAGAGGCTTAAATACCCAATGGTGGGCGGGTAACATTACATCATATGCTAATAAAGTGTAATGGGTAGTATCCAATAATCACGCAGCTACCAAATGGAAGAAATGGCAGGCATCAGTCCTCGAACAGGTCCGCATGTAATGAGGTGCACTTGGACGGTCCGCATGCAAATGAGGTGCACTTGGCTGCCTGGCGGAGGTGTCCAATGAGCATGGCTGCTGCCTGCCACCGAGCACCAATCATCACAAAGGCCAAGCAATTAAAAAAAACTCAGGCAGGACAATAGGCCAGGGAACATCCGGGAATGGGAAGCTTAAAGACACCAGATGGCGCAGGCCATGGGCTGAGGGACGTGCAGACTCCCACACTGGGCGATGTGAGGACCAGAGCTTCGAGCTGGTTCATTCAGGTCCTGTCCCCTGCTGAGACTTGGTCCTTCTACTCCAGAGACACTGCCCTCAGGGGTCCTTACTCACCCCAGGGTGAGTTTTATAGATACGGACGCATAAGAAAGGGAGCCCCGCTGGCATTGTGCGTTGTGGAGGCACTGGGTCGCCATCCATAAGGCCTGCAGTTTGAACCCACCAGCTGCTCCATGCGAGAAAGATGAGACTGCCTGCCCCCCACAGAGACCCCAAAGGGGTGGGTCTACTCTGTTCTGTAGGGTCAGAATCACTTCGATGGCTGCCACTTTGGTTTGGGCGACGCGTTAGAATCATCTGATTCCGATGCAGTACATTAGTGGTAGAGAGGCAGCTCACCAGCAGGGGGCCGGACAGGTGTGAAGCTCCCGTGAGAACATAAATCCTGCTTGCTTTAACTCTGTGTATTTTAGCATGAGGGCAGTGTTTCCTCCTGACACCTATTCAGTAGAAACTAGAGCCCGTCTCAGGCCACGGGCTTCTGCGTAGGTGTGTCTCTGAGTGGAGGGAATGGGCCGGGGGTCACCAAAAGGGTGAGAACGATGATTCCGTTGCGCCCTAGAAGGCCAGTGAACCAGGTTCATGCATGCTTAAGGCACGCTTCCCATGTGTTGTGGGAACTGCAGAAGAATGGCATTAAACAGCCCAACTACCTCATCTGAATTGGCTGTGGACAATCTGTGTCAGATGAGAAATGTGTTCAGATAAATTTCATCTGCTTAATAGACTGAGCAAAACAGTCTCTAGCCAAAGGTGAGTGTGTACATAGAGAGGTGTCCTCGGATTCCTTTCAGTCCACACCCAGTGTTCTCTCAAATGCCTGTGGTTTCATATGTCCTTGCACTTTGAATACCTATCTCAGTCTCCCGTTAACCTGTTCTTGTCTGCAGAATTTTGAATGAGCATCATAATGACGTTTGTAAGAAAGTTAAAACTACGAAAGTGTCATGTGGCTTGTTGATCTCTTATTACAATGGACCTTGACTTAGAATATAATGTTGGGGCCTTTGGGGCCCAGCTGGTGAATGATAAGTTCATGTTTAGATTTGCATTGTTTCTCTGTACAAGTTCTTACTCTGTATCATGTGGGCAGGGGCACCGGGGAGGGCTTTACTTTTTTTTGCAAAAATGTCTGAGGACATCTGTCAGATTTTATATTCATTAGTTATAATAAACTTATTTTCAAAGTAAAAGAAAAAAATTAAAGAGACATCAGACAAGATAAAGCCTGCAAGTGCTCACCTCCGGGACCACCATGACTTCAGGAGCCGGGTTTGCCCAGAGAGAGAAGGAATATATTTCCAACCAAGGCTTATATACTTTCTGGGGAGAGGAGAGGCATATAGAATTACAGATAATTGCATACATAACCAAGTGGGCTCAACCAGAACCCTAAAGGTCCCAGAGTAAGAGGAGGAGGAACCTAACACCAGTCCCTGGGGCAGATAAGGGGGAGTGATTGTCTTCAGAGCCTAGAGAGCAATAGCGCACTTCTGTTCCTATAGATAAAGCTGCCAGCTACTTAGCAATCCGTCTTGTGCTTGTAAAAGGTAACTTTAAGGTAGCACGATTCTGGGGAACGATATTAATTATAAGAATGTGATTGGGACTCGCTTCCAACTCACAAGGGTGAAGTCCTCCCTTCACCCCAGAAACACAGCCTGCCAGGCTTCTTAATATATAAAAATAAATGATTCATCCATATACACTCTCTTCCTATTCTCTGATTCCCACAACTTCTTCTAAAACAGATTTGTTTGTTCTTCTGGAAGTCCATGGTACTTTCAATATTCTTCGCCAGCATTATAATTCAAATGCCTCAATAGAATCAAAATAGGAGCTTCAAAAGAGGACCGGCCTGCTGCCAATGGGCCCCAATTTCTCTCACCTTACTAGCCCTCATCACCTTTATGTCACCTTTGGGAAAGACGTGGCCTGTCTTTGACACCAAATAAACAGGAGAGGAGAAACCCAGTCTGATAACTCTATTTCAAGGCCAGATGACGACCTTTTGAGGCTCCAGGTACTGAGCAGTGACTACTGCCCTCACCACAGACACACACATGATCTAAAACAAATGTAAGCAAGGCCAACGACATGCTTGTGTTTTCCATGATAGCTCCTTTGATTTTCTTTTTCTTCAACATTAAATTCTTTCCAAAGAAAGTGGAAAATGTTCCAACGCTGTTAGTGCTCTACGG